TTTTATATTTAGTTGCATTCCCTCGACACGACTAGCTTCTCCCCTTTTTCCTGCATTAGAGTCACTCCCTTTTTACGTGTAAAAAAGTTGCCTAGCCTCCCCCACTCCCTAGATCTCATTAAAGGCCTTATTTATGTCTTTTGACGATCAGAATTGTATTTAGAGAAAATATAGGTAATTATTCTCAAATTATCCCTTATTTGTCCCTTTTCTTGACTCGCCCTAATCCTCTTTTCAGGAATTAGTCTAATAGAATCTAGAAACCGGTCACAAGTGGAGACACAATTTTTGCATAATCTTTAATAAATTTAGCATAGTAATTCGTCATACCCAACAATGATTTTAATTGAGTAACATTCACAGAAGGTAATATTTTGTAAATAGAGTCTACTCTTTCTTTTTGAACGTGAATACCTTTTTCATCAATTCTAAATCCCAAAAAATTAACTTCTTTTTGAAAAAATTTACATTTATTCATCTTAGCTGTTTAACCACAGTCTTTAAATTTTGTCAATACTTGAATTAAACGTTTATCATGTTCCTCTTTACTCGATCCAACCACAAGGATATCATCAAAGAAGCAAATAACTCCTGGAATTCCAAATAAAATTTTTTCCATCAGTCTTTGAAAAATACCAGGTGCAGAAGCTACACCAAAACATATAGTAGTTAGTAATATAGTAGTTAGTAATTGCGATTTCTCATCTAGTTCTACTTGCTGATAAGCATGACTTAAGTCAATTTTACTAAAAACTTTCCTTCCATTTAATTTAGCTAAAAAATCTTGAATTCTTGGTATTGGGTGACCATCAATCTGCAAAAATCTGTTTAATGTTATCTTATAATCACCACAAAGTCTAATTTGTCCATTCGATTTCATCACTGGTACCACAGGAGTTGCCCATTCACTTGACTTAATTGGTTTGATAACATCTTCCTTAACAAGTCGATTTAATTCATTTTCCACTCTCTCCACCATGGAATAAGGTAAAGTTCTAGGCTTACAAAAAATTGGAATGAACTTTTCTTTGAGTTCTAATGACAAATTACCTTTCGTGTAGTGACCTAGATTATCATTTAATACTGAAGGAAATTTTTTTAATAGCAAGTTAACATCATAATTCTCAATTTTCGCATCATCATTTTTTTCATTAATTAAATTTCTTATAAAATCCTCTTTTAAGAATGCAATGTTCAATTTCTTAATCCATTGCCTACCTATAATTGGATTTGAATTACCAGGCATAACAAATAATTCTAACTTTTGCTCATTGCTATTATATTTGACATTGATTTCAACAATGCCCAACGGAATAATTGGAATACCCGTATACGATTTAAACTTCCTGTTAGTTACTCCCAATTGTAGATTTGCAAACAATTCATTCATTTTAAATTCTTTTTCCGAAATGGCAGAAATAGGTGAACCTGAGTCCACTTTAAATTTCATTCTTGCTTCTTCAATTGTTCATGCCACAAAAATAGGACCAGAGTCAGATGAATTACTATCACAATCGTTATTCTCATTTAATTTGAAAAATTGTTCAAATTCGTCATTAACCTCAATAATCTCATCAATCTAATTATGTCTAACATTATTCCTGTGATTTGACCCTGAATTATTTTTATTGTGAAAACCATTTCTGTGATAATTATGACTTCTTTGATTATTATTGTCACTACTCTTATAATTTGAATTTTCTGCTCTTTCAAAATTATCGTTATCATTTTTCTTCAATCTACACATTACAGCCAAATGACCTTTTATATGACAGTTTGAGCATTCATAATTTTTGTACTTACACCGATTCTTGTTATGATTATTTCTACCGCAATGTGTACAAGGTCCAAACCTCTCTGCGTTGGTATTGTTGCCATTACGTTGTCCCTTGATTTGGTTGTGGTTGATTGACCCATTCGTCGACCAGGAATCCATCACTCCGGTGTCCCTTGATGCAGTCTCCTCACTGAGAGCCAGTTCAATAGCCCTCTGGTACGTAAGTTTCTTCTCGCTCAACAACTTCTTTTTAATAGCCTTGTTCTTCAATCCACAAACAAATCTATCCCTCATTGTGTCATTCAAGGTATTGCCAAATTCACAATGAGTCGATAATCTTCTCAGATTTCCCACATAATCACTAATTGATTAATTTCTCTTACTGGTCATAAATATTGAATTTAAATCTCTCCGCTATGGCACTGGGTTTGGGTTTCAAATGCTCTGACATCAGTGTTGTCAATTCAGTGAATTGCTTTTCCTTTGGCAGTTGAGGTGCACATAAACTGGTCAATAATGCATAGCCATCTTTACCTAATAGACTGATAAATAATGACTTTTTCCGTGCATCATCAATTAAATTGCCGTTCATGTGTTCCTCAAATCTATCCAGCTACTGTGCCCAGTCACCCTATCTGTCATAAGGCTCAATAGTCCCAATACTAGAACTCAATACAATTTGATTAGGCATTGTTGGTAAATTAGGTTGAGTTACCTGTGCAGAAGACTGTGGAATGCCGGCAACCCCATGCTGGCTTAATTGTTCTCTACACTCCTTAACCAATTTATCCAAATCTGCAATTTTCTTATCTCGCACTTCCTCCGAAGTAAGAGCTTTTTGTTTCGTTTCTTCAACTATTGCGCGTAGTTTTTTGCATTCTCGCCTTTTAATTTAGCTACCATAGCCTTCAACGCGTCAACCTCCGACATCGTGTACTTAACCTCGCTTCCACGCGGTCAACGTTTTGTGTCAAAAATAATATCTCTTATCAATTTGATCACAAAAAAATACTACTCGTCGCCACTGTGATATTTATGGATAAGTTGGTTGGGGTAATTAGTCATAAACAGCTCAGATGGGTGTTCAACGCGTCAACCTCCGACATCGTGTACTTAACCTCGCTTCCACGCGGTCAACGTTTTGTGTCAAAAATAATATCTCTTATCAATTTGATCACAAAAAAATACTACCACCTCGTCGCCACTGTGATATTTATGGATAAGTTGGTTGAGGTAATTAGTCATAAACAGCTCAGATGGATGTAATTAACAACGATAATATATTCTTGTAACTTGATGCGTGTCATTAGCACGCTGGCTCAATACAGAGAGAGGGACCCGATGAAGTAGGAGTTCGTCGGTAAAATAGAAATGTCTAAATATACAGTTCCAGTCGATCATAAGGATACTACATATACTCCATCCAAGGATATCAAAGTACCTTTTACAGTGTGGTACTGACCGAATTATAGATTCAGCCATTGGATTGAATCGTCGATAGATTCAATCATCAAATTTGTCAATTAAATGGCATGAGAAAAATTTGAAAAAAATCATGGATATTTAGCGCCATTCAAATCACATTTTGAACAGAATCATTATTTTTTTGAACATTTCTTTCTTATAAATAAACACTTGCAATGGTTCAAATTTCCGGAAACCTCATTTTTTTGGCATTCAATCGATTTCTTATAAAATTCTGAATATGAGTAACTGTAATGCGATTCCAAACAAATGTTCTTTATGGAGAAGAATTGATTATTTATAAAAAACAGTCGTTTTTTCATTCTAATCTTTTTTTTTCATGATGAAAATAAAACAAAACAACTTATCAATTTCTATCGACTTCTCCTACAGAATATTTTCTATCAAACTTGTTAGTAGCAACGGCGAAAAACAAATAGTAAATTTAATAGAAATCTAATCGAATTTTCTAGCAAATTCGCTGGTTTTTCTATTGAATGTTACGCGTTAAAAATTACATTTTTATGATTATTTTATAGTTTAGGCCATTTGAACCTTGAAGCTTTTTCTGATTGAAAAAAAAATAATTTGAAAAATTCATGTGAAAACGAACATTGTTCGTCTTAAGGGGCGAGGTCGGTGAGTTTTGAAAGTATTCGGTAGAGGTAGGGACCCATTGAATGACTTTTGATATATCGTGGAATATGTTAAAAAGTGGGAAAATTTATGACACCAATCGATTGTTCCCCATACATCCACGAAAGACGACGTTTTTCGTGTTTTCAACTACAAAACCTTTCTTGCACCACAGTTTCCATCCGATTTACATTTTTTTTATTCTTTTAAATGTTCGTAAGACTCCAGAGAACAAACGTAAGTATCCGTTTTGCGATCCGTTAATTAGAACATTGAAAAATCGGAAAAAATGAAAAAACAAATTTTTTTGTTCTTAGCATCCACATTATGCGGTAAAAATTTCTGTTTTGACTAGTTGAAAATTCAAATTATATCTAATCAGATGCTAAGAACAAAATTTTTGCGAATGTTGAGAAAAAATTTTTTTTTTTTAATTTTTCCCGTTTTTTTTTGTTTGAATTAGGGTAATTCTTCAGTGACTTATACCTGGTGAAAATTTCGCAATGTAGGAAAGACGCAAAATTTGGATCATATGTGGTTGAGCACATTTAAAAACCATTCCCAAAATTTCAAGTAGTTCGGGTACTTCTATTTTGAGATATGCATCGTTAAAAATGGAAAAAAGACAAAATTTGAAAGTTTGACGATGCATATCTCAAAATTGGAATATACCAACTCCTTGAAATTTTGGGAATCGTTTTTAAATGTGCTCAACCTTATATGATTCAAATTTCGCGTCTTTCCTACATTGCAAAATTCTCACCAGGTATAAGTGACTGAGGAAGTACCTTAACGGATCCTTACGTTTGTTCTCTGGAGTGTTACGAACAATAAAAAAACATTGTAAATCGGATGAAAACTGTGGTGCAAGGAAGGTTTTGTAGCTGAAAACACGAAAAACGTCGTTTTTCGGGGATGTATAGGGCAAAATCGATTGGTGTCATGATTGTTCCCACTTTTTAACAAATCCCATGATATATCAAAAGTCAGTCAATGTGTCCCTAGCTCTACCGAATACTTTCAAAACTCACCGACCTCCCCCCTTAAACTTTTTTTTTCTTTGAGGTCAACAGATTTATTTTTCTATTTTTTTTTTATTTCGTGCGATCCACTCTTCTCAACACGAATGGTTGAAAAAATGTGAAGAAATTCACACAGAGTACTTTTGATGTGCATAAAAGTACAGTTTTAGTTTCGTTTTTTTTTATACCTTGAAGATAATACGTAGCTGGATTGACGGAGAATGAGTCATGTTCAGAATTTTACCATAAATTGATTCCTCGTAATTTAAATGGAATTAGCATATTACTGATCATCCTCTGATTTTTTCCATGGTTTTCCGACATAATTACACGTATGAAAAAATTCAATAGAATTTCCTAGCGAAATCGCTAGAAAATTCTATTGAAATTCTATTAAGGTTTCTATAGGATTTCTATTGGAATTCTATTTGGAAATTCTATTTGATTTTTGCGCTGATTGTATTAGATATTCTATAGGCAAAATTTAATAGATTTTGAATTACTGCTAGAATTTTTCTATTGAGATTTTTCTATTAGAATTATTTTTCAAAAGTTTTTTCCGCTGGTTTCGGTTTCGTTTTGCATTACAGAATCCGAGTTTTTAATTGGATCGATGAATCTAAGAGACGAATTTTTATTACTCATTTTTGTAGATAAAATTTTTTATACACGTGAAGATAATTTAATAGAAAAAGGGAATATTGCTCTTCAGCAGAAGTTTGTTAGATTACTGATACATCATTTGATTCACTTCAATTTTCAAAGATCTGTTGCAGTGTAATGATCATTTCAACCATGTATTGGTAAATTATGGAAACAATTCATTTGACATTCCATTGAATTTAAAATTCTGGGAACAAACAGGGCTTCCAAATCAGTTTTTTCTCGGTTTTCGTTTTCTTCCGAAATTACAATTCCTCGAGATGAATGGAAATTGGCGTGAATATTAAAACAGGTTTATTAGCAATTCCAAATGGAGTTATTACGTGGAGGCCCGGTAGCTCAAGTGGCAGACCACCAGTCTGGGAAACTGGAGACGCGGAATCGTACTCTGCCTGGGATTATACCCCAGTGCCTCCGAATTTTTTAATTTGTGCATTGATAATTATTTTATTATTTCCTTCATACAGAGGTTCGGAAAGCTGACGAATTGCATATAGCATCCCGCTTTCTATGTAATTTATACCTTTAAAACATCTAAAGGTTGACCGAATTAATAGCCATATCGGTCGGTAAATTTCTTAGAGTTATCACCCATTGAAGATAATTTTTTTTTTCAATTTATTCGTTCACAAATGTGACACTTGTTGATTGAAAATTCGTTCGTAACGTGCAACAATGATCGAAAATTAATTTGCGTTCAAGGAAATCTTTACGCGTTTGTCTGTCATCGTCAAGTATTGGGATGGAGGAAGAAGTCCTCATTACTTCACATTATATTTCTCATAGTTTTGAACTACGAGTAATAATTTTCATTTTTACACTGTCCCTTCTATTTTTTTACGCAATGATGATGCGAATTGAAAAATCGAAGATGAGGAAGCGGAAATTGATTTATCTTGGAAACGAGACGGAAAAACTAATGTAGGTGAATCCAATCAGTCGGCTGTTTGATTCAAATGTTAAGAATTTTTCTTTTTTTTCTCCAGTCACTCAATCACTCCTGAATTCGATTAAATGATTGAGTATGCGTTCGTGAAATTAATCTTCAAGCGAGCAACAAAAATTCATCGGTAACTCCACGATTCTTCACTCCATAAAGATCTAGAAAAAGCATAGGACAAAGGTTCGCTCCAAGATTCCTTGACTTGTTAAGTTATTCTTCCTCAACTATCGATACTTTCCATGTGATATGAGGTTGGATTCATCTCGAAGATGGCTATTACGACCGAACAAATGAGAACATGCAATCTCTAGTCAATATTGCAAGAATTGACTTCGTTGTGTATTCTCATAATGGACATAATCTCAATGAACATTGCGGCTTTTAAACAAATATCCAGCGATAAATGTGGTATTTGTGGTAATTATGTCGCTAATAAATGGGAGAAAATATTAATTATCATCACTTACCCTATTGCCGTTATTCATCTCAGTACCATAATTGACGCATGAATAAATTACGAAGTAACCCCATAGACCAGCCGATCTCACAGACTTTGTGACCTGCCGCCAGTTCTTGACCAATCTTTTTAGAGAAGATTATGGAATGAATGGAATGAAGTAGGAATTTTCATCATAAGGTCCATAAAGTATTTTCTGATGAATGTCATTATACGCCTTCGGCTCGAACTATTAACCCACATCCGTAAAAAAATACTCATAGCGACTCTTCATTTGGCCCTCATTTTTTCATTTATTCACACTCTTACTTTGGTCCTTATGACGACACTTATTTTGGCTCTTATACCGACCCTTTTTCTGGCGCTTATTTTGACTCTAATTTTGGGCCATATTCCAATGCTCATTTTGGCCCTTATTCCAACCCCCATTTTGATTCTTATTCCTATCCTTATTTTGACCTTGATTTTGGCCCTTATTACGACTCTCATTTTGACCCTCATTCCGACACTCATTTTGGCCCTTATACCAACCCTTATTCTGACTCTGATTTTTGCCCTTATTCAGACCCTCACGTTGGCCCTCGTTGCAACACGTATTTTGGCTCTTATACCGGCCGTTATCTTGGCCCTTATATTGACCCTCATTGTAGCCCGTATTCCAACCCTCATTTTGGCCAGAATTTCGACGCTCATTTTGGCCCTTATGCTGACCTTCTTATCGGCCCTCATTATGACCCTTATTCCGCCCCTTATTTTGACCCTTATCCTGACACTCATCTCGGCCCTTATGCCAATCCTTATTTGGGCCGTCATTTTGACCCTTTGTTTCTTATACTGACCCTCATTCTGACTCAGATTTTGGCCCTTATTTCGACACTCATTTTGGCCCTTATTTCAACATTCATTTTAGCCTCTATACCGAGCTCCATTTTGACCCTCGTACACACTCTTATTCCAATCCCTATTTTGGCCCTTACTCTGACCCTCATACCAACTCCTATTTTGGCCCGTATTTGGACACTCATTTTGGCCCTTATACCGTGCCCCATTTTGGACCTCATCGCGACCCTCATTTTGGGCTTTATTCTAACTCCTGCTTTGGCCATTATTCGTGCCCTCATTTTGGCACTTATACCGACTTTTATTTTG